AAAGATAAATTTGAGTACATCCCTAACTTGAAATACTTATGTCCAGTTCCAATCTTTCATATATGTCCTCCACTTAATTTTATATATAAATATACATGTTTTCATATCTCGTATTTATATTTAAAAAGATTTGACGTTTGCAAAAATTGGAATTTTTTTATAGGAGGAAAGTACACGTTGGCACTTTTCCTTTTACTGCATTTTTCTTCCTTATGAATGTAACATGACTATTCTGCTACTTATTATACTTATAAAGGACTTCTAGGGTAGAGAACAATAAAACCCCTATTTAGGGGAGCACTACAACAAGCCCTGAGATCCAACCATAATTACAAGTTCAATCATAAACCATAAATCCATAACCATCACAAGAAAGGAACTTGAGGCAAACTTTCTGGAAAGCAAGACTAAGACGCAAACAGATGGAGGACGGCTTTGGATGTTTGTCAAGACTCAACATAAAGCAGATCTACTTCAGTAAAACATTTCATAGTCCTAAATAAATGTAAACTTGTAGAATTTTGAGTTTACTCATCTAGCATGATGTAAATCCTCACTTAATGTTTTAGGCTCTTACATAATAGTATTGTGTGGTATAAGTCATAACCTTTTTAGGATTCTGAAGTTGTTCGTTTGGTATAACGTAAATCCCCCTATCTTCTTAAAATATTTCATAATTTTATATTGTTTAAGTATAAACCCTAAATTTTAAATAACTGATAGGAGTAAACATTAAATAATAACACCATTTCTAAATGTAAAGCCAAATAGTAGGATAGTTTGGAAGTCATCGAGGTTTGCCTCGAGATTTATGACATTCCCTACTTCTAGCTCCTTTAATTTCCAAAATAACTGTTCAACACTGAGTCATTCTCACTTGAATTTACTACAAACAATCATGGAAACTATATGTTGAATTCTTGAAGATGAAACCCCCTGATCTTAATCGAGAGTTTTTCTAATGTGACTTCAGTCGTCTAAGATGTAATTAACTAAAGGGGCTTGCTTCTATGGAAAATTAGGAACCCATATAATCTAAACCATGTCTAGTCTTTATATTAGATATGGGAATTGTTGTCACAAATTTTGCAGACTAAAAGGATTTCATGAATTTCTTAATTTATATAATCAAGTCTACTGTCACGTGATACACTTATCTCTTGGGATGACTATCGTTTGTGATATTATGCTTGATTATTTAAACTATTAGACATATGAGATTCGTTATGTCTCATCTTTTAAAATTAAAATACTATTTTCAAAATCAAAATTATACCCATATTAAATTAAATTTATCTTCACAGAAAATTGACTGACAAGTCCTTCCTTCGGAAGTCAACTTGCCATATTTATGGGATACAACTCAGACATTTCATGATAAATGTAATGACCTATGGGTTCAAGCGGTCCTCCTTTGAGGCATGATTCACCTTCATATTTGTTTTCCTAATGATATGTAAGAGAAACCAGGAATTTCTCTTAACCTAATCTATAGTTATCATTAGGGCAAGGTGTAATCTTCCTAGGGTGTCCTAAACTTGGTGCGACAGATAATTAGTGTGAGAAAAGCTATACACTTCTCTTACTGAGGTGTAATCTTCCTTTGGCCTTGGGCAATCCTTTTCTTTAGTGACAATAGGATGTCTCAAGTTTTGGTTCAAAGAGACCGATGACATACTCCTCGGTAGCAATGTAATTGTTGGTCATTTGCAACAGTTCAAACAACGATTTAGGCTCACACAAACCCAAATTGAACTTAAATTGAGCTTCTCTCGCCTTTGAGTCAAGGCGGTTTGTGCAATTACTGGATGCAAATCCTGTACTTCTAGCATTTCCTTTTAAAAATGGGTGATGAAAGAATGAAGGTTTTTTTTTCTCATCTTGCTTGAGTTGCAATAGGACCTAAAATTTTTCTTTGGCTTCTAAACACTATCGAAGTAAGTCACGAACATCTTCTTGAACTCAACAAAAGAAGATACTACTCAAGACAGATGGTTATTGAAGTATTTGAGGGTTGCTTCCTTCAGTGTGGTGAGAAACAAAAGACACTTCATAGCATCATTAATCTGTAACATTCCAATCGTTGATCAGAGCGCAGCCACGTGATCAATCAGATCATTCTTTCCCCTGTAGAAGCTAAAATTTTGCTAATGTTTTGACTTTTTGAATCTACTGAGAGAATGGACTCCCCGGAAATGGTACCAAAGGTGCTTCTTCCTGTCTCGTCCATTACTCTAAACTAATGCAAACTTGATGTCTAGTTGTTTGGAATTTTTCTTGCTCTTCAATTACTAGGATTGCTCTCTGGCCATTATGAGTTGGTTGTTCCTCTAGGTCTCGGGGTTGTACCCCGTGCGGTTGAGTTTTGTGAGACTCTTCAGCAAGGAGAGGTGGTTGATCTCACATTCACGTAATAGCTTCTTGGAGGGCATTAAGCAAACCAATCATCCGGTTTTGCAACACTTGCATTTGAAGTCGAATTTGTTATTGTATGAATTCTCATGTAGATTCCGTTGTTGTTGTGTCTCTTTGGCTAGTTTCACATTCATGTAGTTCTCGGTTTCTCGTATGGGCATGTCTGCACTGACCACACCACCTTTTAGGATGTTAAATCCCATATTGTATAACTAGGCACGCCTTAAGAGATAGAACACGAAAGAACAGAGAGATCAAAATTCTATGAGTTTTAGTGTAATGAGTGTGTAACATTTTATTCATAAAACAACCCCTATTTATAATCATAAGTGGCTCAAGTTTACGATTACATTATCCCTCTTTATCTTGTTGATTAAATGTTATTTTTATTTTTTCTAATCTTGAGCCCTTATTATAACTAGCTCTTTAATACAAATAATCGACTGAGCACCACTTGCATGATAAGTTGCAACTATCGGATATAATGCATAGCAAGGCAACTCATTTTTACTTCTAGTTGTCGATTGCCTAATTCCTGACCGATTCTCTTGGTTGACCAATTCAACTAACCATTTAGGTTCGATGAGATTATCGGTCATCTGGGCAAGTGTGCTGAGTTAGTCGATCGCCTGATAATCTTTCATATGCAATTTTGATAAAAAATAGTGAAGTCCCTTCCAGTCGTCTGATCTCTTTGAGGTTCGTATTGCATTTTTTCTATATAAACACACACATACACACCCACATATTACCATTTTAATTTTTTTAATGTATAGAAGTTGTGTAAATTAAATTTGTATTGAACATATTTTTAAAAACTAAATATAATTAAAATTATTTTTTTGTTGTGTAAATTTAAATGACAATTTCATATAATTAAAGTTAATTTATTTTATATTAAAATAGTGATTTTTCTAATATTATTATTTTTTAAAAATTGAGATTATAATGTTTAATATATTTTATGTAACTTTAATTTATTTTTTAAATTAAATAATTTTTAAAAATAATAAAGCAAACATTATGCTCTGAAAGATAACTACCATGGGGCTCAAACCCAATACCATAAAATTATGAACCTTACACTCTACCAACAAGCTAAATAAGCTTGGTGCTATGACTTTATAAATATAATAAAAGTAATATATATTTATCCTGAATGATTGTTTTACAAAATTGTCACATCAACAAAGAAAACGACCACCACATCACGTGATTTTGAATATTGATGTGGCAAAATCATCTATTTATTTGGCGATTTTGTCCATTTAGAATATTTTATTTTTTGAGTGTTTATTTAAAATAATAAATTTATAAAAAAGTTATTTCTAAAATTTTGTGGATGTTGACTATGTCATCTCCAAGGTGAGACAGTTAAGGTCATGGTGTAGGTCCCACCCCAACAAAAATTGAAGTTATTGATGAAAGCTCAAATAAGCTTTGACCAGGTTGATCTCGACATTAGCTCAGTTTGAACATGTTTTGAATTTTGAATAGATTTGGGCTTATTTCGAGTACAAATCAAATGGTTGACCGAAAATGGTTGTCTGAAAGTAAAATCATAGAGAGAGACAAAAAGAGAGTTGAATGAACAATAATCTATAGTGTATATTACATTTTTCTCCCTCCAAATAAAAATAGTGCTCTTCTATTTGTTGGAGAGTGATTATTATAAAATGACAATTATATCCCTAGTTCTATGCAGTCGGCTGGAGACGGCGAACTAGAGCTGTTGGCATGGCCGAATAGAGTTGGCCGGGTGACCGGGAAAAATGGAGCTGGCCAGGTTGAATAGAGTTGGTCGGGCCGACTGGAGCTGGTAGGGCCACAAATGAGTTTATCAAGCCGACTAAAGTTGATTGGGCTGACTAATGTGGGTCGACCGATTTGAGCTGGTGGTTAGGCTGATTGGAGTTGGTGGTCTGGCCTGGTCGGGTCGTACGGAGTTGTTAGCCGAGCTAAATGGAGTTGTTGGTCGGGCCAAATGGAGTTGGTCAGACCGATTGAAGCTGCCTGGTCGGGTCGTCGACTAGAGATCGAGGAGCCGAGTTCAACAAGTTCTTTGGACAGTCTCATCGCCTTGATCTATGAAGAAGAACATTTGTCATACATTTGTCATAAATCTATTTTTATGTTTAATGTTTAATGTTTAATGTTTTATATGCTGATAAATATTGACATAGAGATCGTAAAGAGGAGCGACGTTTAGAAACATATCACACAATTTTTAAGCAATCATTACACATCTAATACTTAATTAAACTTTTAATTACACTCAAATCATTAACAACACGAAGCATACCATAATAACTGAACTTTTAAAAAACTATATTTATTTTTTCATGTATAAATATATGACACGAACATGACATCATTATAAATATGTTAGATAAAAATTGTATGGTGATACTCTTCATGTTTTCGTTCAGTTCATTTGAAATATTTTTGACGCAGCGGACATGCATGGGAAGCGGTAGCATGTCCAGATCAAACACGTGCAGCCTCTAAGTTTTGACACGTTGTCTTCCATGCCGCTTAAACGGAAGAGATGAGGAATTCTCTGCCATTCCACTGCTTATGAGAGAGAGAGAGTAGAGATGAAGAAACAGTTATCCACAACTGCTAGTGATCTCCTTCAGAAATGTGCAGAGTAACCGTCTCTTCTTCTTCTTCCCCTTCTCCTTATGAATTTGCTTATAAAATAAATTTGTGTCATGAAGGAAACTTTTTATGATACTTACATGCAATATAGATGTTAATATTCAGTTATTTGGCAGGTTTTAAATAACAAGGATTGTCTACAATGAACATGTCTGGTGGAATATCTTAGCATGGTTTAGTGTTTTTATTTGTTTTCTTGTGGCTCTTGGAGTTAGATTTGTTCAAGGAAAATAATAATATGAAAATTGTGTCATTTTCCTAAGTTTACTGTGAGTGGTTACGTTAATAAATTTCATTGAATCATGCAAATATGTTTAATTAGGTTGCAGTTACTTGATTCTTGTTTTTTTATGTATTTGACCAAGTCCAGACATAATTTATAAAGAAATTTGATTTTTAAATCATTAAACTGTATGTGGGGTTTGATGTAGAGTTCTGAACACATCAGAGGATGCTCTCATCAATGAGTTCGACAAGAGCTTGAAAGCCTCCGTAGATAACTGCTCAAGAAGCTTTGTTGAGTTCTGCAGCTCTAAAGCAATTGAAAAACTTTGCTGCGAAATTGGAGAGAAAATTAGCCATGGAAAATTTACCCGTTTCACCTTTGATATGATGCTGGCATGGCAGTTCCCAAGCAACAAAGATGAAGAGTACTCCTATTCAGTTTATGTAATCATTTCATTTGTTAATCAATGCCATTTATTTCTAATCATTTCATTAATTATTCATTAATCACCGCTTAATAATAATGCTGAGCAGGAAGGTATTGGAAAGGAAAGGGAAGATAGAAAGAAAGTTCTGCAAGGAAATCCAGGCCAGATCCATGATGATATTCCCCTCTTCTATTCTGACATAATGCCACTTCTAGTAAGTAGAATGGATAGCATAAGTCAATTTTTTATTATTTTTTTTTCAAGTAAGAATTATCATGTTAGTAATTTGACATGAATATAGGTGGATGAAGAAAATAATGTTGGTGAAGACTCATTTGTATGGTTGGGATGTGTTCTTCCATTGGCCGCCGATGTCGTAAATGCTCGATTTGTATTCGAGACACTTACCGCGCCCACGGCAAGCCGACTTCACTATCCGGCTTACGATAGGTTTCTCAAAGAGATAGACAAGTATTACTCTTTTTTGTTCTTGATTGCTTTCATTATTTATCCAAATATTACATAGATGTTATGGTTAACTTTCTCTAAAGACTCATTTGGGATGGTTTCAAATATTTGTAAGAGATGTTTATAAGGTCTTTTCATTTTAAAAATAATGGTGAAAATGTCTGACAGCAATAACGTTCTAGTAAATTTGAAGAACAGGGATTGTTGTATGAAAAAGTGAAGAAGTAAAAATATTCTCTGATCATGAGGATTGACAAATGTCCTGCACAATATTTATAATTTTGACAGATATATTAAGTACCTGCAAAAACAAAGACCACCGACAGGATATGAATTTGCAGCAGATGAATTCATACTGCATGTAGAAGGGACTGGAATGACTCAACGGGTGGTTCGTCACATAGGCGAAACAAGTTGGCCAGGCTAGTTCATATTTAACATTTTCACCAATTTCAATAACATATTGAACTCTTACTTTTACATAATAATACATAATTTGATGTCCAATTTTCCAGGCAGACTTACACTAACAAATCTGGCACTCTATTTTGAGGCCTCGAAGTCAATTTCATATGACAATGCCTTAAAAATTGATCTTTCAAGCGCCGAAGCAGATCATCAAGTGAGAGCAACATCTACTGGACCTTTTGGCGCTCCCTTCTTTGATAGAGCTATAACATATGAGTCTTCATTACTGTAAAATTACCTAACTTTAGCTCAATTTCTGATTTTTCATTGATCTAATGATGATTTTAAATCAAAGCATACATAAATTAATGCAGCAGATCAGAACCATTGACACTAGAGTTCCCAGAGATGGCCAGTTCGACTCGACGAGATCATTGGTTTGCGCTTATAAATGAAGTCATAAAAATGCATAAATTCATATCAAAACTCAGGGATGAGTTCTCTGAAACAGAGACATGTTTTCAAGTTTGGGAAGTGCAAGCCAGAACTATTTTGGGGATAATGAGGCTTCATGCAGCAAGGGAAATGCTTCGAATGGCTCCTCCTCCTCCCATCAACTTCTTAATCTTCACTTTGCTTGATGAAGTTCCCAAAGGGGATTATGTGTTGGAAGAACTGTATAATAGCTTGAAGAAGTCAGAAGTAATAGGTGCTTGCAGTGCTGCCTCCATACTTAAGAGCTTGAATATTGGGAGTCCAGTTGTTTGTGGAATGAAAGCAAAAGAAGGCGTTGAGATAACACCAAGAAGGGGAGAAGCGGAATCATTAGCAATGCTAGAGCCAGCCATTGAGCAAGTGAGAGAGGAAGCGAAGGAGGCGAGCATTGCCAAGGCTACTCTAGAGAAGATTAAAGATGAGGGGATCATAGATAGCATTATTTTGCTGGGGGTAAGTCATGTTTATGTTTGCTGAGTATTGTCTTTAGTCTCATGTTTAATAGTTGAATGATATATTGGTGTAGAAATAATTAGTTGTTGGCCCATACACATAAATTTTGGTAAGATTTTCATAAATACCCCTCAAATCTAATATATTTACATATAACATCTAAACTTTATTTTTTACATGTATTCCATTTTATGTAGACATGAAAAGGTGTATTCATTTTTAAAAATTAAAATAGAGATATTTTTGAAATCATATTAAAGAATTAGTTGGTTTAAATATAAAGAATGATGTTTAGGTGTTAGATATGTAAAATAGAGAGGAATTGTGTGGTATTTATGTAAATAAATGAAACGTTCATGTAATTTGTGGCTCCATTAGCTCAATCAAAAATGATTTGACAAATATTTTAGATTTGGCGTGCTATGAAATTGTACTAATGAACAACAAAAGAAACAAAAAAAGTAGTACACTAATTTACATGGAAAATTTGAAAAGAGAAAAATCACGAGTACTATTGCTTGTCGGATGATTCGTGACGCTAGAGTTATAATTTAACATCTTAGTGTTGTACTAAAATCCAACATATGCATAGATAATAGAGAATTAATAGGAGAAAACACCATGATTTTTTATGTGGAAAAACCCTAAAGAAAAAAATCATGGGGCTTAGCCCAGTCAATGTAATCTACTATATGATTGTAAATACATAGGTCCATTCTTCTCTAGAATTAAAGAAAATGAAAGTACAATACTGATAACCACAGAAATACAACTATAGTTCAACTTTAATAACCGTAATTAAGGTACAACACATTAATTTTTTTGGTAATAATAGTGATAGTAGGTTGCATAGGCAGTAGTCAGCCATAAATGTTGTAAACATTGGCTATAATAACATCAGTTTGTCATAGTGTTCGTAGTTGGAAGTTGTAGTAGTAGTTGTCATATAAGCCGTAGTTGGTAGCTACATGAGCCTCAGTTAGCCATAGAGACTTTACTTGTAAGCTATAATAATAATTATCCAAGTAAGCCATAGTTGCTCATGTAGGCTGTATTGAAGAAATGAAGTAGCGCCTATTGGCCAAAAAGGTCATGGTTAGAAACTACAGTAGCAATTAGCTACACAGGCCATAGGTATTCACATATGTTGTAGTTGGTCATATAGGTTGCAGTAAAGATTTGCAATAGAATTTTTTTACCATAAAAGTCTTAGTTGAAAGCTGCAGTTGCATTGAGCCACAACGGCTGTGGTTAGCCTTATATGTCATAGTGGAGAGTTGTAATAGAGTTAATTGACCACTAAGGTTGTTGGTTGATTTACTATTTTACAAAATCGATAATAGTTATCGATATACGACATAAAGAAAAAACTTTGAAAGTCTAGAGAAAGTCATCGTATTCTAAATATGACAATTATAAATAGCTATCATCGAGAATTATCAGTGAATTTACAATATTTACTTGGTAGCTACATTAGTTTCAGTTGGCCATAGAGACCATAATTAGATACTCCAATAGAAATTATCCACGTAAGCATAATTGTTGACATAGATTATAGTAGAGAACTATAGTAGCATTAGTTGGTCATAGATGCCATAGTTAGAAACTTTAGTAGCAAATAGCTACGTAGATTCTATTTGGTCAGATAGGTCGTAGTTGGTCAAGTACACATGCTTTAGTGGAGAGTTACAATAGCGTCATTTGATCATAAAGACCTTAGTTGAAAGCTACAGTACCAATGAGCCATGGAGGTCGTAGTTGACCACATAAGCCATAATAGAAAGCTGGAATAGCATTAATTGGCCACCAAGACTTTTGTTGTTGTTAGTACACTAGTTGGTGGCTTCATCCCTTCTTAAGGTTTACCATTTTAACTAGAGATAATATTTGTTGGTATACGACATAAAGAAAAATTTTTGGGAGTCCAGAGAAAGTCAACATATTCTAAATACAACAGTTTTAAGTAGTTATGATCGAAAATTATCACTGAATCTTCAATATGGTGTGTCCGACATACTTCATTGCACAATAATCATGGTACTTTGTTATACCATGTTCAGGGTACTTCATTACACCATATTCAGGGTACTTCATTACACCATGTTCGGGATACTTCATTACATAGTGTTCGATCTATTTCGTTACGCCATGTCAGGGGTATTTCGTCACACTGTATTCAGGCACTTCTTTACACCATATTTTGGGTATTTCATTACAAAATATTCAGGATATTTCATTACATCGTATTTGGAGTACTTTAACAACAACATGCAAGGGACTGCTAATGACCAGTGGTGGATTGTGGTCGGCGGCTACAGAGACTGAAAGTTATCAGTGGGTCTTCGATCTAAAATAACACAAAAAATTGATTCGTCTTCCTCCCTCAAGTGAAGAGAGGAGCCTATTTATAGGTTATAGGTGAGGGACATTTTAATTATTAGACGAACAACTCACATGACCATGTGATCACATGACTCATATTGAACCCTCTTAATCATAGAGATTTTTTTTGAGAATTTTATAGCCATAATGACCTTAAAATTTTGTGATCTTGGACTTATTGCTTTCCTCTCACTGAGAAGCTCAATTTGACTATAAGTATATTAAATTTGAAATTCATTTGAACCTCATGTTAACCATTCAAAGTCTCTAAAAGTGGTTGAACGGCTTGATGAAACTCGGATTGGACAAATTTTAGTGTCATTGGGTTCATCTTATCGAGGAGATCAGATAGCGGTGGCTCGACATTTTGGTGTGTGGGCATGCAAGCTCGGGTGCACATGCTTTCTAGAGAGACAAAATTAGCACAAATAACTATTAAATATGTACTGTGATTCATAGGAAAGTATGAACACAAGAAAGGTCGCAATGAGGCACGTGGGGGTGCCCTTGGGCATGCATTTGAGCGGCGTCGCCACACTTACTAGCGTGAGGGATCGTGCTTGCCATGGGCTTTACGGCCAACAAGTTGTGGCAACATAATGCAACGAGAGGACAACTGTTGGCTAGTGACGACTGCGATGGCTTGGCGACAGGCGGTGGCATGCACATGGTAAGCAACAATGGCATTGGCCGCGATTGGTTAGGTCAGACCAAAACGACAGTCAGTGGTAATTTCATAGACAACAAAAGGTTGGATTGGGCCACGAATCATGGGACAGTACAAGCTAACATGGCTATGTTGGGTCGGCGCTTCTGTGAACCATTTGCGTGCACTGAGAGCGGCACTGCCCGTGCTCGCCCACATTCGCATGCACGTGCACGCCTGTGTGGTGGTAAAACTCTGAAAAGATTGAATTTTTCTGATTTGGCGACCTTCTGTTCAATTTTTTGCCTATAAATAGGCTTAAAAAGAGAAGGGAGAAGGCATACTTCCCTTTCTTGGGCTGAAGCGTCACTTGGAGTTTCTTGGCCTATTGTTATGTCTCTTTCTATGTTGGTGTCGTGTAACCCCATAGTTCTTTTCGTCTTGAGCTGGAGATTGTTTCCTAATTGTCACCCATAATTTTATCAAATGGTTAAACCTAATTTTCTAAAATTTAATTCAAGGGAAAATTATTCAATTGATAGAAAACCTCACAATTATCACTTACTTTAGTTAGGTTTTTTGTTTTTGCAAAATTAGGAATAACATCTTTAAAATACCCAAAAAAATTTGAATATTTCAAGCTAGACTTAAAACCAGTAGAATATAATTTTTCTATTTTAGTGAGTTAATTCATTTTCTATGGGTTCGATATATGGACTCATAATCTGAATATTGCTTGTTTTACACTTATATTATGTTGTTGTTGGTGCTTTTCAACATTTTGGGCATCAAATACATCGTTGCATAGTATTCAGGGTACTTCATTACACCATGCTCAAGGTACTTCAATATATTGTGTTTGGGATACTTTGTTTGTGTTTGGGGTAATTTGTTATGCTGTGTTTGGGGTATTTCATTATATCGTGTTCGTGATACTTTTTTATGTTGTGTTTGGGGTACCGTTATACTTTGTTTGGGGTATTTCATTACAACGTGTTCGAGGTTATTTGTTACACCATATTCAAGATACTTTGTATATTTGGGATACTTCGACGACAGTGAGCAGGGTGGCATGACAGCCAATGATCGAAAGGTAAGGAGGCCGGAAGTTGTCAAATGGATTTTCGGACCAAAATAATACTAAAATTCAAATCATTCTCCTGTCCCCTAAAGTGAATAGAAGGGGTCTATTTATAGGCTCTAAGGGAGGTGCATTTTGATCATTCTCTCATGTCCATTTGATCGGACAACACACATTGTATCCCCTTCATCATAGAGAATTTTTTGATGATGCAATGGCCATAATTATCTCGGAATTAGGTGATCTTAGGCTCCTTAAATTCCTCTCGTCGAGATGCTCGATTTGAGTATAGGTAGTCAAATTTAAAATTCATTTGCCCATTTAATTAAACATTCGAAGTCTCAAAAAATGGTTAAAGGCTTGTTTCAGGCTTGATTGGACTCAAATTGAACCAATTTTAGTATCACTGGTTTCGTCTTGTCAGGTCGATCAGTTTGATTATAAGCTTGCTAAAATCGGAGTTCCATATTATTTTTATTTTGAATCGTGACTTTTTCAATAAAAAATTCCTCGAGATTTATGTCAAATGATGAAACGATTATATAAGAAAATTCACAATATAAAAAAAAAATAGAAGTTATAAAGGGGTTATATATATTCCGTAACTTGGTTTATACAATTTCTTCCTATAACATGTATGCCTTCACCAACTCCTATTTATTTTCAGGAGCTACTAAGTCCACTTAAAAATCTACTCCCATTTCTCCAAAGAATCATTTCATGGGAAAAGCCTGCACTCACTTTCTCTACATTTGTCATAGCTCTCCTCACCATATACAAGTAAGCACCATCTATCTTACTTCTCTTTACACCTTCCTGTAACAATTCAGTCATGCTAATCTGTCTTCTGATCAGAGAATGGTTCGGTCCGGCCCTCGCTGCCCTCCTGCTGTTCGCCGTCGGAATGATGCTATGGGTCAGGCACAAAAGGCTTGGAGAGCTACCTATAGAGGTTGTCATCTCCCCACCCTCAGAAAAATCAACACTTGAAAGTATAGTATCAGCTCAGCACAGCCTTAATAACTTTGATGCAATGGTTAAGACAACAAACATCACCATTCTCAAAATCAAATCTATATTTGTATCGAAGACACCGAAGGTGGGAGTCATAATTTTTCATCATCATATATATCATTAGTTTTATACTGAAAAGATTTGATTTTGGTTGCAGCATTCAAATATGGCAATGAGTGGGCTTAGTGTAGTTGCATTTTTGCTGATGATGGTGCCATTCAGGCTTGTTCTGATAGGATTTGCTACATATATTTTCATGCCTAAGCTGAACAAAACAGGGAAAAGGAATAGCAGTCAAGGAAATAGAAGGCTGAAAGAGTGGTGGGAGACTATACCAGTTACTCCAGTTCGCATAGTCAGCGAGTCTTGATTAGATCTATGAAATATTTCTTTTCTATAAGTTTACAAAAGCATTGAGGAATTTTATGTTGTTTTGTTTTATTTTATCAGTTTGTATAAGCATTGTGGAACTTTATAAATGTTCATGGTATAAGTTTGAATCATATGTATAGAGCATCATAGGCCTGTTTGATACAGATTATCTTTCAAGTAGTAGCATTTCTTTTGAGATAATTTCAATTATAATTATTATGAGTCTAACTAATTAAAATCCAGTTCTTTTAGAATGAAAGCATTTGTGACAACATTAATTTGTCTCAAATAATGATGATTTCAGTTGTATCAAGTTAATCTTCGATCAAAGAGTACTTTAGAAAAGAGATAATAAAGTCTTAGCACTTCAATCTTTATAGGGAGGAGCATCAAGTGAGGTTAATAGACTTCAAGGCTATTAACGTCAAGTCAAATGCCACCACCTTGAAGAAAGTTAGATGTCTTAAGAGTTATGTATGAGTTTGAGAGAAGCACAATATTGAAGAGCATCAAATGCCTTGATGGCTTATGCGACATTACATAAATACATCGAGAATCACTTACTGTAAGTACTGAACACAAGCATGTGCTCCATCACTTGCTTAGATTCACTAAAAATTAAGCTTTTGTGAATGTTATGTGGGTTAATTGCGTGCTTAAGCTAAAATTAAATCTATGTTGATTAGTGTGCGTGTATTTTAAAACTTCAAAAAAATCTCTTTAAAAAGTCATAAAAATCATTAAGTCATACTTATTTATAAGCGGGCAGCCTTGCCTATGGGGCAATGTCGTAAGTCTCACCTTTTGGCTAGTCCGATCCTCCTCCCTATATGCACTGGATTTGACAAGGCTGGGCCACTTATAGCCAATGTGATCCTTCTCCCAATAAAGATTGGAATTGGCAAGACTGAGCCCCCTTTGAGCCAGTTTGATTCTCTCCTAATTAGGACCGGAGTTAACAAGATTGAGTTTAAAATAATTAGTTTGATCCTTTTTTTCACGAGGAGTGGACTCAATAAAACTATTATTTTTCATGTTGTTTAAATAATAATTTTTTTCTCGATGATGATTGCATTGATTGCCGATCTCATCTAGATAGATCTATTTTCATGATATTTTTAAATTTGCGAATCTTAAATCTAAAATTATAAAAATTCAAAATTTATATTTATTTGAAAAATGCTATCACTTAAAGGTTAAAGAGCATAATTTATCCATGTTCGATAACATTTTATTGAGAATGACAAATTTAATGTTTACTCAAGTTTACAAAGATCTAATGTCATATTAATTATATTATTAATTCACAATCAAAATAATTTCATGCTAGAAAAGATTTATTTTGAGTCTTTTTTTTTCTTGTCATCTTGTTGCCAAAGAACATCACAAAAAAAAGTTAAAATCAGAGCCTTTTGACTGAGTGGTTTACCACCAAATAGAACTTATATTACTGTCATGACTATAGTCGATATGTTCTCCATGTTATATTTTTATTTATGACTCACATTTATTTTAATAACTTATGAGATTTATTTTTGATAACTTAAGTTATTAATTTTCATAACTCATAACTTATGTCATAAATTATGACAACTTATGATATTTATTTTGATAACTTAAGTTATTTATTTTCTTAACTCATAACTTATGTCATAATTTATGATAACTTATGATATTTATTTTTGTAACTCTATAACCCCATATTACTAACTTATGTCATTGATTTTATTAATAAAAATCAATTAATTTATTAAATTATCATAAATCCTATTGGTTAGTAACCCCCTTGATGGATGGTGGATAAATAGCGCATGAATTTGAGAATGGGTCCTCTCTCTACCCAACACACCTCGTACATTTCTCTCCATCAGAAAGTACAGAAAGTTTTAAGGGATTAAAGAGAGAAACTCCATCTCTTCAAGATCAAATTTGTTCATCATGAATACAGGTATGCGTCGCTTTATTTTTACATATGTAAAAATCATGAATTTAAAAGATCTTGGCTATTATGTACTTTTCTTTTGTAATTTGTGTATAAAGTTGAAACATGAATTTTCTAACAAACGCTCCCAACCACGCACGTCAACGTTGCTTTAATTCCACACGCACGCCCGACCTGTCACGTATCGCTAGAAACTCGAAAGCGACTGTATGAGTTAAAGATTATTAATGGCTTGAAAATTAATTCAAATTTTAATTCAGTTATTGATTAAATTGAAATAAATGAGTCGAGTTGTGAGTTAAAATTTTGGATTGAATTTTTTCAAGTCTATCCGAGCTCAGGTCAAACTCAGATTTAACAGTCAGGGGCGAAACCTGTCTCTTTTTTGAGAGAGACGAACTGTCCCTTAAACCCAATGTGGGAGCGACTAGGACAACAAAGAACAAAGTGATATACATCAAAATGGGTGAAAGAACAAATTGTCCTTTCATATAAGTAAAAATTTGAACTTCATGAAAATTCTGCTTATAATAACAACCTTAGTGATGTTAGGACTATCAATTTAATAAATATAGCTCGAAAAATTGATTCTAATTTTAGCTCGGATTTAGATTAGAACGAAGTGAACAAGCAATGCTACGAGCTAGAATTTTAGACAGATTCTTTTGAGCCGTTTTTTTGCTGACTCGGCTATACGCCAAACCGGCCATAAACGGTCCCATCAATAGGAGGAAAGTGGCTACAGGAACAGACACACAATATGCCGGCGGGTAAATGGGATGAAATAAAGGAAGGAATTCGAAGCGCGCTCGTGGTTCTGTTCATTCCACTGTCGGTCTTTTTGGTTCTCCTCCTCCTCGGGAGCGACGGTCTTGAATTCTCCGACAACTGTCGACCTTAAAAATTTGCTTCCATTAGGTTTGCATCCATTGCTTGAGTCGAAAGGATTGCTTTTTCTCTCCCATTTTTACTTTGTTTTTTTTTTTATCTCCTGCATGAATTAGATCTCCTGTTCTGATGATTTTTTTTTAATGATGCTTGAATGTGGTTGAGGTTGGAAGTTTCGAGTTTCTATTTCTTTCCAATCTGGTTTTAAATCTTTGCTGCGTTTGATTTTGGGTCTGAACCCGTCTGTTCGATGGCGGGATCACAGGCAGGTTTTCTCGATGATTTTAGGGTGTTCGAATTCTGAACTGTTGATTGGGAATCGCTTTTTCAATTTGAGGAGTATACGTGGAGTCCTTTTATTTTTGTGTGCAACATTTGTTTAAGCGAATACGGTACTGGTTTTGTTTAGATAGGTAAGCACTGAAATCTGATGCAGGCAGTGTCTGTATATTAACGCTATACAGACATTGCGAAAGATGAAGAGACTAGATGTGTAAAGTTGGATACTATTTTTTTTGGGGGCATTTACGTGCGTACCACACAATTCTTATATATTTACATATCCAACACTAAAGTTTTTGTCTTGATATGCAGAGCACTCAAATTTTTGACAGTACATAAAAAATGCACTATTATTAGCTTTTTAAAAGTGAAAAATATCTTTTCCTGCATAGATTATGGCACGCAAGTGTTATGAATGTAAATATCAAACTCTAAGTGTTATATATGTAAATATATAGAAATTTTGTGGCTTGTATGTAAATTTGACTTTTTTCCTTATTTGTCATTAATGGCGGCTTTAGGAAGTAGGATGGAGTAGGACATGGATAAAGATAATTATAAATTTCCATCCGAACATGAGGCAATCATGATATGATGGTTGGCTTCTCTTCTATATTATTTTCTTCTCTAAGTATAAAGTTTGTTTAAACACAATCATCTCATAGGTTCTGGTATTCTTTGTGATGGCCTATACAAGCTTAAACTTGATAACCTTTTCTCTGAGAATTTGATGACTTTGCATCATAATATTGGTACTAAACGTGGTTTTATGAATGAAAGTTCAACTTATTTGTGGCATAAACATTTGGGTCATATATCCAAATAAAGAATTGAAAGATTAGTAAAGAATAAAATTCTTAATGAATTAGATTTTACTGATCTTGGTATCTGTGTGAATTGTATTAAAGGAAAACACACAAATCACACACTTAAGAAAGCCGCCACAAGAAGCACACAGCTCCTTGAAATTATACACACTGATATTTGTGGACCTTTTGATGTTCCATCTTTTGGTGGAGAGAAATACTTTATCACCTTTATTGATGATTTTTCATGTTATGGGTATGTCTATTTATTGCATCAAAAATCTCAAGCTATAGATGCCTTAAAGGTGTATATAACCGAGGTTGAGAGATAATTAGACAGAAAAGTGAAAATTATCAGATCTGATAGAGGGGATGAATATTATGGAACTTATAATGAACTGGACAATGTCCAGGTCCATTTGCTAAATTCCTTCAAACTAATGGCATATGTGCTCAATACACTATGCCAGGAACACCACAGCAAAATGGTGTTGCAGAAAGGCGAAATCGTACTCTAATGGAAATGGTTAGGAGTATGATGAGTAATTCTTCTTTACCCTCATTATTGTGGATGCATGCTTTAAAGACCGCTGCATATTTATTAAACAGGATTCCTAGTAAGGCAGTTCCAAAGACTCCTTTTGAACTGTGGAC